GCTATTTGAATGTAGCGTTGGTATCTGTCAACCATAGATTGGTAAAGGTAACAATATATAGAAGCTGGTCAAAAATTAATCAGTCTTTCTCAGTGATTTCAACATATTTACACTAGAGCTCACTGGCCTATCTATAATAAGATCTGAAGTTAACCATATTTTAGCTACGTGTTCGCTAAGTTCTTGTCACTCGATATCAACAAATGAAAATATTTCTCTCTACTCTTGTCTGCGAACAGCTGAATTAGAAATATAGGAATATATCTTTAGGAAAATGCTCTCTAAGTGCATAGACATCTAAATAGTCTAATGGTGATGGTGATACGTGTTCTTTACAATGCATGCTGGACAAACTATTCTAATTAATTTTTTGTTCGTTTCCTTCAGTAATGTAAAGGCAGAATTGAAATTAGAGTATCTTCCCTAAATTACTATTTATGTTATCAGTGCAAAGTGTGAGAACTTCACAAAATACCAGATCTTGCTCAGCTAGGATAATTTCACACTATCAGATATAATTTGTGTCGATTAATGGGATGCTTTCATAAATCTATAATTTATAACACAAACACTTTTTTCTTCAGTAAAATATTGTACTCAAACAGGATGAAACCTTTTATTTCATTCGGTTGACTTTGAGAAGCATTTCACATGGTCACTAACATCGAAAGCTAAAGAAGGTCCTAACACATCCTTTTCTATTATTCTTGTCTTAGAACACATGCCATTTTCGATGGTATTTTGTAGTCCTCGAAAAGAGTGTGTAAGCCTGTTTCCGCAATCCAAGGCATTACAAAACAGTTTATACTTCAAACAGTGGATGACTCGAACACTGCCAAGGAAATCTAAAATTAAATAACAAGTTAGTTTAATTAATTGGAAACTTAAATTAACTATAGACAAGTATTTAAGTTCATTAAATTGTAGATGTTGTACGTAATTGTAGTCTATGAAATTGTTGTACTGACAAGGAGCGTTCAACAGATACAGGTAAGAATCTGGCCTCATCTTTTTTTATAGATAAATATTGACTACTTCTAAGTGATGTGAAAAAATAGCTGCCGTCAAGCACTGGACGTTACTGAAAAAATACGCAAGTTCCGAAGTTTTCACGATGCAAATCGTCGTTCGGCGTTCACGCGGGGTTAAGCAGCCCTGCCCGCAGTGAGAAAATGTCCGCCAAGGGAACAAGCGCTCCTATGGGCCCGAGCTGCAATTCACTTTGCGAAACATAGCTAATGACATTGCTCACACCTGTGACAAGCTCGTTTTGGTGGCGGCGCGGCACACAACTTATTCTTGCAGGTACTAGTTCTTCGTCATTGAGAAACAGAGACCTAATGGGATGCTGGAGTATGCTAGCGTTAATCAACTTCAGTTACTTTTTACTTTGTATAAATTTCGTAATGTTTGCGCGAGTTCACGTAATAATTACTATCAACAGAATATCTAGTAATCTCTTTAGTTTTGATTAATTCTTAATTTTTCAGTCAGCGTGTGTTACATGCACTTCACAGTCAACGAAAACTTCGACTACGTTCATCTTAGAATCCGTTTTTCGGGTAGCGCCAGAAATGCATTTCATCCCCTCATATGTTTTTTGGGTTAGTCTAACATTGGGTAACTAAATATCTTTTGCATTTGAACCGGAACTATCGTGCTAATTATTTCTACGAATCTGATTTCTAAATAAACACTCAAGGCGAATTTCCATTATCTGCCTGTCGTTCTCTGCGTAATCGCACGCCGGCTCCGTCCAGCCTTCCGAGAAGCAATGAAGGCGCGTCATCGCTGTGAGAAGGCCAGGGTGCTGGCGGATGTGTCCCTGCGGAAATCTGCAGAGGCCGCTGGAGAGCGATAGCAAATCTAGAGCAGCGCTGTTCGGCAAGGCAGTTCGACTCGGAGGATTGAGAACGCAACACGTGAGCCACGGTGGAGCCATGAAGACCTGGGCGGGTGAGTACCGCGCAGTGGACTCGTGCATCGTACTGCACTACAGACAGATGGACCATATTTTCTGGCCACAGCAAATATCTTGGAATTGTTTGAGATATCGGGAGGCGGTTTGCACCAAATCATTACAGCTGTTGGAGCTGTTGGAAACTCATTTCGTTCTTCTTTGCAAAAATTGTAATTTTGGAGATCATGACTGAACGCTTATTTTGTAAATCGAAGTATTCACTTTTCACCAGCATGCCCAAGGTCACAAAGAAATATATTTAATCACATTAATTTTTACTTTCCAAATTAATAATGTTAAGTGATTTTGTCAAATTTAGCTTAGCCGGCTTACTATTATTATTATTATTATTATTATTATTATTATTATTATACTCATTATAATATTTATTATTAATTATTATAAACATAATTATTAGTATTCGATTTTTCACACTTTGTCTGCTTTAGGAGGAAAAATTCGACTAATTAATGCTACAGGACTAGGCTCAGACTGCACAGGAAGGAATTTCATCTTGATCTAGATGAATGACACGCATTCAAGAAATTTCTGACAATATGATATGTTTGAAGGAGGGTAGCATTCTGGGCTTCGTCAAAGACATTTTTCATGTCTAATTCTCCAGATTTCTTTCAAAGTTCCCGGTCACGGCTCCTTCAACTGAATGGGAGAATGGGAGACCTCGTGCAACTTCCAAATGTTTTTTAATTCAATTGACAAGTTCTTATATTTTCTGGATTTTTCTTCTTCGGACCTCCACAAGTTGTGAGTCAAAGAGATTGCAACATCGATTATAGAAGCTGTTTTCTTTTCTTTGTTTATTACGAGTATATTACAGCGGTTACGATCAACTGTTTTATTCGAAGTCGTAGGCTTCCGCAGCCAGAGTCATGTGCATGAACGTGGCTGTCCGGGTGACGCCGCGTCAAAGGCTGTATTGCCGACGTTTCGACCATCTTGTCGTGG